GCTGAAATCGGAGTTTGGGTGCTTCCAGATTTAAATTTCGAAGTTTCCGGGTTGGGTTTTGCATCGAGATTCGTGCCCAATCAAGATAATTTCATGATAACGTATCAATATATGTGATCAATTACACAAATTAGGGGTGTCAATTTTTGACACGGTATGATAACCCAATTTGAATCCGACTGAAAAATTCCAGATTTTGGTCGGCCCGATAAAGAAAGGGGTCGGGTTTGGGTCATATCTTTGGACCCGTTTATATTTTAGGTCGAGTTTGGGTCAAGCCGGCAACCTGAGTTTGACCCGAATCGACCCGTTTAAGTTTAGGTCGGACTTCTCCAACTGCAGCCGCTGGCATTGCTGCCGTTCATTTGCTGCCACCGACTGGCGTCTGCCAGCGCCGAACCACACTTCTCCTCTAGCAGGCCTAGCCTAGACTAGCAAATGCGGAATACCCTGCCCGCACTTAGACGTCGAATCGTCGGACGGCTGTCATGGGCTCACATGATGCTCCGCCACTCACGCTCGTCGCTTGATGCCTCGACCAATCGACCACTATCTAGTTGTTAATTGGCCTCGGGTCCTCGATGGACAACGACTTGGCCGTTAGGGCAAGACGCCAAGGCCCACTCGTCAACTTGTGCTCATCGAAGGAACTGCAAGCAACAAGCCTGCACTCGCGAGTCGGGTTGGAGCAATCTACCCGACGATGGATTCAAACGGACAACAAAACTTAGTCGGGTTTACAGGTCGAGTCTGGTCAACCCGTAACCTGCGCGGGTCGGGTCCGGCTTGAAAATCACGACACATCTGTAAAACTACTTCGAGTTAACCCATTTACGCCCGGGTCAACTCGGATTTGATCCGAACTCGATCTGTTGACCCGAATTGACACCCCTAACATAAATCCTTTTTATTTTTCTATTAAGAGTCAAATTATCATTTAAATCTAATAAAAAATTAATTTATAATACATTTTGATTATCTTTAGATCCATCTTTATATTTTTTAACATAATTCGCATCTAAAACATCAACTCTTCAAGCAAAGTCATCATAAGGACGATATTTTATGCGACCAAATAATCTAAAATAACTCTCTAATCTTATATGCCACTGGAGCTACATTTAAGAGGCTATATTAATAAAAAATAAACCACACTATTTAAATTTAATTAATGTATTTAAAGTCTAAATAAATTATTATGTATATAGTTTTAATATTTATATACTTGTTTCGTTTGAGTTTGCTGAATGTTCGTATGATATCTATGCTAATTAAATTTGGCGTTTAATTTTTTAAAATTATTTTTGATAAATTTTGGCTTTGATTTTTGATTAGTGATAATCAAATTCAAATGATACATTCAAAATTGATAAGATTACTAACACAAGATTCACTCACATTTTATGTGTCAAGTTGATGAAAAATTATTAGGTGCGGAGTGTGGACCGTCCGCACAAGCACATGATACCCAGCAGTACCGAGTGGTACCTAGCTGGGTATCCTATAGTTGTGTGCGGACGGTTCTCCCCGTCCGCACTCCGCACCTAATAGTCTCTCCAAGATGATGACTAGCTAATTCAAGTTTCATTCATATTTAATTCTTCAAACTTGTTATTTAATGCTTCAATTATAAAAAGGGAATGAATTAATTGTCACAAAGTATCCCACGACCATAAACAAACAATGAGAAAGCAAAAAAAGAAGAGAGAAAGAGAAGAGAGAAGGGACATCAACATTAATGCTTTATTCCTTATGTGTAGCCATCATCTGCATAATATATGACTATCAATCATTAACCGACATAAAATAATATCTTTATCTTTATTTATATAAGATATAAATTTAAAATATACATCCTTTGAAGCTTGTTAAATATTTGATCTTTCTATGATCATGGTATAAGTGAATCTCATTGAATCTCATTTAATCCTTATACATAGCGTGTATAAACTTATACAAGTTTATACATGGTATATATAAGCATTTTACACACAATAAATAAGAATTGTATACACTATGTACATGATGTATAAGTATTACAAGTATTATACATAGTATGTAAAAGTTTATACATGCTGCGTACAAATATTTTATACACTATGTACAAGTTTTTACATGCAATGTACAAGTATTATACATAATATGTACAAGTTTATACATGCAATATATAAGTTTATACACACTATATATAAGTTTATACATACTATGTACAAGCATTATATACACTATTTATTTATTTGTAAACACTATATATAAGCATTATAAAAACTATGTTCAAGTTTATACATGTTATGTAAAGCACTATACACACTATGTACAAGTTTATACAAATATTATAAACTTCTACATAGTATGCACAAGTTTATAAATATTATAAATTTTGAATAAGTTTATATATATTATGTACAAGTTTATACACGCTAAGTATAAGGATTATATACATCATGTATAAGTTTATACACGCTATATACATAATTTTTACATACTATGTACAAGTTTATACATTCTATGTGTAAGGCTTATACATACTATGTATAAGTTTATAAAAGCTATATACATAATTTTTACACACTATGTGCAAGTTTATATACGCTATGTACAAGCATTATGCATGCTATATACAAGTATATTATACATGCTATGTATAAGTTTATACAAATATTGTACATATTATGACGAAGTTTATATGTGCTATTTATAAGCATTAAACACATTATGTATAAGTTTATATATATTATGTACAAGCATTTTACACACTATGTACACGTTATATACGAGCATTGCACACACTATATACATGAATTATACACATTATATAAAAGTTTATACAAGCATTCTACACTTCGTTCAATGCTACATACAAGTACTATACACATCATGTACATATTTATACACACTATGTACAAGCATTATACATACTATTCATAAGTATTATACACTATGAATAAATTATAAAAACTTTGTACAAATTTATACAAGCTATATATAAGCATTATAAATGTTATATACACCAAGGTCAAGTCAAGTTCGACCCGAACCCAATCCATTGATCCGAATTGGCACCCCTATAAATCTTTTTTCTCTTTCTATTAAGATTCAAATTCACATTTAAATTTAATAAAAAATAATAATTTCTAATACATTTTGATTAATTATCTTTAGATCCATCTCTACCTTTTTTACATTATTTGGATCTAAAACATCAACTCTCCTAACAAGGTCTTCAGAAGGCAGATACTTTATGTGATCAAATCATCTAAAATGACTCTCTCTAATCATATATGCCAGTCCTACATTTAAGAGGCTAGATATATATATATATATATATATACACGACATTATTTAAATTTAATTAATGTATTTAAAGTCTAAATACATTTTTATGTATATAGTTTTAATATTTATATACTTGTTTCATTTGAGTTCGTTGAATGTTCGTGTGATATCTATGCTAATTAAATTTGGCGTTTAAATTTTTTGAATTATTTTTGATAAATTTTGGGTTTTGATTTTTGATTAGTGATTATCAAATTCAAATGATACATTCAAAATTGATAAGATTACTAACGCAAGATTCACTTGCATTTAATGTGTCAAGATGATGACTAGCTAATTCAAGTTTCATTCATATTTAATTCTTCAAACTTGTTATTTAATGCTGCAATTATAAAAAGGGAATGAATTAATTGTCACAAAGTATCCCACGACCACAACCAAACAATGAGAAAGCAAAAAAATAAGAGACGAAGAGAAGAGAGAAGACATCAACATTAATGCTTTATTCTTTATGTGTAGCCATCATCTGAATAATATATGACTATCAATCATTAACCCACATAAAATAATATCTTTATCTTTATTTATATAAGATATAAATTTAAAATATAAAGCTTGTTAAATATTTGATCTTTCTATGATCATAGTATAAGTGAATCTCATTGAATCACATAAATTTTTGTCATTTGTTTTAAATTTTTGATATATTTATTCCCATATCATCATTTATTTATGCTCAAAATTAAATCAATATTCTAAAATCTATAACTCCCAAACATTTCTATATGAATAAAATTCATAAGAATTAGATTATCATTGTAACACCACATAATCTAAATTGAAAGAATTTCATCTGTTTATCTTTGGAATCAATAATCAGAGCTTAAAGAATTGCATCACATATAAGTTATATGAACAACATTGACATTAACTCTGATTCTTGATGTCAACATCAAGATTTATACAAAAAACTTGGCCTTTGGTCACCTTTCTTTAAAGAAGAATAGCCAAACATATAATAAATGATCTATTGAAGATAACTCTCATAACAAAAGGCTATTTCAACTTTCAACATAAAATTTGTTCTAGACAATTCATGTCGACTTTACTGCATCAACGTTTTTCAATTATGAGGAACGTATTTATTTGCAATCAATAATATACATTAGTGAAATCATTTTAATTGGACTAGGTTTCATGATTTTTTCAAATTTGCATTTTCTGCGTTAAACTCGGGAATGTATTTATTTGCAATCATTACGTCCGATCACTGATCGGACGTCCGGACATCCAATTCAGACTCGGCACGTCACCCAAATACATTGGAGTACACCGAACTCTAATGTATTTGGGTGATATGATGCGCCTAAATTGATATCTGGATGAATCCGAACACCGGATGTAATAATTTGCCCATCTCATGATGTGCCATGTGCTCACACTTCTGGTCTTCGCCGGGAAGTTGACTTTTACTATCGGCTCCGCATCTCCATGGGCTTCGCCCCAGACGGACAAATTATTGGGTCAGGTGACCGGATGAGAAAAATAAGTTCGGACATCCAATAAAAATTTGCTGCGTCAGCTTGCGCTTTTTGACTTGCGCTTTGGTTGCGCTTTAGTTGCGCTTTAGTTGCACTTTAGTTGCGTTTTAGTTGCGCTTTAGTTGCGCTAATTTTAAAATAATATTTTATTAATATCCGGACTCATCTATGCGTTCGGTCACTTGACCCTAGACGGGAGGTCATCTTCCCAGTCCTTCTGTGTTTCATTCTCCTTTAATCGGGAATGGATAGACTTCAGATTTATTCTTAATTTACTTCAGTTGATGGATTGATTGGTGATTTGAGAGTCAGTTTGGGCGACGGCGGAGGTTTGGTGGAAGCAAATGCGCGGCGACCTGCTTTTAGGTATTTTTTCCGTTCCTTACGTGTGAGTATGATGAGTTCCTCCTAAACTCTTTAATGCTTATATGTTGGTTGTTAATAGAGCTGAATTTTCAAGTTGTTTCAGTTTGGTTCTGGATGAGATCAACTCAAGTGATAATTGACCAGATCAAATCAACTTAATTGCTAGATTTAACAATATTAGATTATCTTTTGTACGATGGCGATTGAAGTTAATTCCCACAGACAAATCGTGGATTTAGTCTCCAAAGGGAAGACTATCCAAATATGTTTAGCCAACTCCTCATGCCTGGAAGATAAAATATAGAGTTTTTTTTTTTCTGGATTAGAAACTTATTCCTTATTTAGGTTTCATTTTGTAATTTTCTTGTTGTTTGCAAGTTCCGGTGAGGAGCTTTTGTTGTAAAAGTTGTTTGTAGGAGTTGCTGAATGGGAAACCTTTGATTTGGGGTTAAGCCTGCTGATGGACTGTTCTTGTTGAGTAGAAGTGGTTTTTCAGCTGCGATAAGATGCTCAAGAGAGTATTAGCCTCATTGGAAGTGAAAGATTAGTCAAGTTTCTAATATACTACTAGTGACCCTTAAGGTTCCTAACTATTGATTTGTTTGGATTTAACGAAAGAAGAAGAATAATAATTTTATTTGTTTACAATAAATTAATTAGAAAGAGGAAATATAAAAGGATATTGGGGAATGTTATAAGTAATTATATGTTGAGAAGTTTAAAATGAGGTTGAGATAGTATTGGATAAGGTGTTGAAAATAGTAGAGATAAATGAACTAAGATGACTATTTATTGGATGTGACTTAGAATAAGGTGTTGGAATTAGAAATATGAGAAATTCTTATCTTTCGAGATAGATCAATGAGAGAAATAAATTAGAATTCTTTAGTCGAGCCAAACTTAATGTGAATAAGATGACTATTTCTATCGATAAGATTGTTAAATAAGTTTTAGGAGAGTGTAAAATGGATCATAACTAATAAGGAGACTTTTGTGATGATTGAGGAGATACAAAATATTATTTAAAAAATGCATTTTTAAAGAAGGGTAGAATTTGAACACTACTAAATTTTATAATGATTATAAGAAAACTAATAATCTTGCAAAAAGTCAGTAAGCAAATACAAAGTTATAATTTTTTATGATTTATACAATAGACTTTATACTAAAAAGGAAGAAAAAAAAGATATATAAAGTAAATATGACAATGGCTAACAGATCTAGAGTTTTTGATCATGTTAAATGCATTTAAAGCAAAGATAATAAGATATTTGTTAAAGATGTATATATCAAGGAAAGATAGAGATGCAACTCTAAGAAATTACTAAATGAGAGTTTTAAGAAAAAAATATTTTATAAAAACATAATGAATAAAATAGCATTGATCCAAAAAGTGAAATGGATTCTCCGAAAAAGATGTATATATGTAAAGCCTTTGGTTCATATGAGATAACTATTATGATTTGGAGAATTATGGAAGATATTATAGTGGTTTGACCAACAAGTTCTTTTAATGAAATTATGATAACTAAGTGATTATCAAATGACTAGAGAATAATCATTTTGTCAATAATTAAGAACAAAGAGATGTTTAATATTATGCTATCTATAAATGAGTCAAATTAATGAGTTATATAATGAAGCTATGGAAGAGAATAAAGGAACATAAACTTGGAACAATTAATTCAATTAAAAAATAATTTGATTTCATAATAAAAAGATTAAGGCAATTGATGAAAAGTATAAAAAGAAGATAAATGATCTTTATAGATTTTTATTGATATCGATAAACCATATGATCAAATACCATGATAAAAGATTTGGTGGCATTAAATATTAAGGAAAAAAATGTATGTGTCAAAGGTGTGTTTACATATATATATATATATATGATAGGTCATTGATTAATATTATAAAAAGTTGTGAAGTGAACAAAAACTTTCAAATTATAATAGGATTACTTCAAGAATTGATATCAAGTCTATATCTTTTGGTATTGGTTATAGAGATGTTTATAAAAGATATTCACAGAGGTGATTTTTGCATATATCAAGTATAATCGATGAGATACTTGATGGAACAAGTGAAAAATTAGAGCATTGGAGAAAAATAACGTAGAATAAATTGAATAAAAAGTGAGTATTTTATATGTTGTTTTTATAGGCATGTTATTAACAATTATCAATTAATATTATTAGAGGATAAAATGATATACATGAAAGATATATTTAAGTATCATTGTTCTCTTATATAGAAGAATGAAAATATGGATGGAGATATAAATTTTAGAGCTAATATTGATTGGTTAAAATGGAAAAGTTTCTTATGAATATTATACAATAAAAGCCTATCATGGAGACTTCTTGATAAATTTTATAAAATTTTAGTTAGGTCAATAATGTTTTATGTGAAGAACTATGAAGGATTAGTTTTGTTTAGACATATACAACAAGAATGGAAAATGTACCATTTGATGGGTAGAAAAAAATTGTGTTGAAGGATTAAGAAGGAAAATAATTATACCTAAGAATGTAGGGTTGTTATACTCATACACAGGGGTGGAGCCATGCTGGGGGGCCATTGGGAGCATGTGCCCCCATTAGCCCTCCAGAAATTGAAGGAGAGCCAGACAAATAGCACAGTCAGTTGAAATGGTTTGGGCTTGCAGTGAAGGCTATCAGTGATAAAGGGGCTTGGCTTCTCGGGCGGTAGCGTCAATTGCGCATGATGGAGGTCGGCACCAAGATCAGCTTGGCGGTGTGAGCAGAGGAGAACAGGTGACGAGTGTTTTGAGGAAAAGGGAATATATTATATATGAGTATTTTAATATAAGTTAGATCATTATGAGCCTTTGAAAGCGCACCTCCATCTCCTGCACCTTCTATAACAATCAATTCACACTCATGATTAAAATTCTCTGCTCTCAGTCCTTTACTCTCATCTTTCGGCTGAGCTCACCTACACCGTCCATGCCATCTTGATTCAGGACTTTTACTGATGTTAAAAGCTAAGGCTATATATATATATAAACATAGAATATAAAATTTTAAGTTAACAAAATCAATATTATTAATTTTAATTGACCAAATAAATAAATTAGAGATGACTCGGAGAACTATAGACCTATAACTTCAAACATCAATATTGATAATTAATTACATTTTTGAATAATCACATGAATTTTATTATAAATTATTAGGAAGTGAGAAATTATGAGGTGCTATTAAATAGTAGATTTTAATGCTATAAGTAGCATGAATTGAGAGCGACTAAATGCACATATCAGATATAATCGATTGAAGGGTGGAAGAAACAGTAGAAAATAAACTTTGAGTAGTTCAATTTTTTTTAAAAAAAGTTCAGTGTATAATTATATTTTTCTAACTATTTTACTTATTAAAATTTTAAATACACATCAAGAGTAATTTGAAAATCATTAATTTGTGTCACCACTAATAAAAATGTCTAATTCCGCCCCTGCTCATACAAACTTGGATGAGAGGCATGATGAAACACACTAGAAGATTGTAATTTATAGTTTTTCAACTATTATTTTTGGTTAAAATTAGCCTTTTTTAATGCAAAATCAGAAAACACATTTAATTCACTCCAAACAATAATTAGAAGTCCTCCATAATCTGAAATTTTGCAAGAGGATTAAAATATAAAATTTAGTACAGATGTCATGAGGATTAATATATAATGATAACATTTTTTTATAAATAAATAACCTCAAGCTATAAAGCCTAATTCTATTTGATCACATCGAGTCTTAGCCATCACCGTCACCTCCATTTCATTTTCTCTGGTGCTATAGTTGCCACCTGCATGTTCTATTGCTCTTCCACTTGCACCTCATCGATAAATGAGATGGATTTTCCTCCTCCCAAATTCCTTTAGATTTTAATTTTTTTCTCTACTCGTTATGTCAACTTTTCCTCCTTGTTCATTCGAGTGAGATTCTATTCTCTAACTTTATGCCCACCTACATTGTTGTCGCAACATTGCTCCATTGACTTGTCCCCAAATCTTATCATCTATTTTATGCCCACATAGTAATGAATTAGATCAAACAAACGAGGAGACCTATAAGGTGCTAATTTAGTTGGTGACACCTATCATCCTAATCGAAAAGGTTGGAGTAACTGCAGTGGCAAATAAGATTAGAGAGAGTTGCCTTAGATGATTTGTTCATATAAAATATCAGCCTTCCAATGACTCTATTAGGAGAGTAGATGTATTAGATCCGGACTATGTTAAGAAAGGTAGAGTTATATCAAAAAATACTTAGTTAAAAAGTATTAGAAATGATCTTTTTTTATTAGATTTAAATGTGAATTTGAATTTTAAGAAGATACAATTTAGAAAAAGAATTCATGAACTAACCCCACTGATGCGGGCCTAGCTTGCCTCTAACTCAATTTTCCTTAGCATTTATTGAAGATCCCACTAAATCCCCTACATTGAGCTGCATAATGAATACTTATATTTATTGTAATGCATTGCTACCTGAGTACACTCATGTGTCCCATACCACACATTAATTGTCATAGTATAGAGCACACACCTTTGCTAGTTCGCCTACCACTCCTAAATGACCCCTACATGTCAGCAAGCCCACATTTGTTTCTTGTTTTTGCAATTAACTTTGCTCCAATGCAATTGTACCATCAATTTCCAACTTACTTTGTTATGTTGCCACATGATTCAACTTAACCAAGGCTCTGAATCCAACATTCCTTCTTACACTGACACATGCAATGCTCATTGTCCCTTCAATACCTTCACTAAAATGTTGCATGATTTATCGCCCACAACTTTCCTAGCTCCAATAGGCTTAATATTCAAGAAGCTATGAGCCAATGTGCTAAAAATCACTATAAATATCATCTCAATATGATTGATTAGGGGTTAGATGCTTGAGTCACACACATAATCACTAAAGTTAATTCTTGTCTTATCGTAGAATCAGAGTAACTATGCCATAATACTTTCTCTCCTCCTCTCATAAACTTCCAAATGTGTATCATCTCTTGTTTCTCTTGGAAAGACAAGTTTCCACCATCCAAATCAGTGGCGTGATAAATACCCCTTTTTAGTTTTATTGATCAAGTAAACTGGCACTAGCCTAAGCACAATTTAATGTCATTGTGGTTCCAAAATAGAGGTTAATCAAAACTTCTTAGATGTGGTTGGAAGATTTAAAAAAAAAACAACAAATTTAGTAGTAATACCTGGATTATTTATCTCATAAGGCGATGCTCAATGGGATGTTATTCATTTGTCATGAAACTTTCGTTGCTTGTTCAACAAACAGACATTAATTTTCCAAGGTATGTTTTAGAAAAGGACTGACCATCTCTCAACTCATATTTACCTTTCCATCTGCTTAATATTTTTTTTGTTTCAATTGGAATACTCACAAATCTTTATCTGCACGACTTTTGCGGAGATTTGCCGGTTTTCATTCTTCCAAATGGTTGGGGTGCCACGGTGGTCAACTAAAAGTGCCCATATATACAACGCTACATCAGCCTGAACCAAATCATCATGGACGGCTTTAGCAATATCAAATGCATTAGAATTGCCCGCTGGACTTGGTGAATCTTGTACCTTCTTGTCCTTGGTTTATGTGACGTTATAGAGGAGGTAAGGGCCTTCTGTCCCCCAAGGCATTCTGATTTCAGGCTAAATGAATCAAAACGTAATGATATTATATTGTGAAAATTTCAAAATATCTCAAAATGCCCAATATGTTCACTTCAAGTTTTCAATCCTGGAACAAAATGACTCTTAACGTAATTGCTTAACACTAAAAAAGAAAACTAGTAGCCAAAAGGAGGAGAAAATAATGCTATATTCTTCTAAGAAACTGTATATTGATGAAGTACTGGATTTATGTAACTATGTGTCATTGTTGACGACCATTTTCTTTGGCCATCTTTGTACTATCTGTTGTTGCACGAGTGAACCATAGTCATCAAACAAGTCTTTCCAAGTTCATGTAGCTCATCATCAACTCACTGACATTATTATGCCCAAAAAAGTGAGGCCTAGTTGTAAAGTTCCTAACATGGGATCCCTGCCAGAGGAATCTGGTGGAGATGATCCGAAGACTATTGATCCAGATGGGTTTGTTGTGTTGAGAACAGAATAGCTTGTACTGTACGGAGGCATCACAGACTCTTTTTTTAAATCTTGAATTAGTGCCTATAAGTAAAGTAAATATTCATCTCAAGAGTATGGATGTTTGATTATAAATTGAAAATTTACCTTGTTGAGGGATATTGACAGGTTGAAGTACCTGAATCAAAGGGAGAACAAATAACCCATCAGATTTAGTTCATGTTTTATTCTTGCATTCAGAGTATTTAGAAGTTTAGGACAGCTTTCTTTCTGATTTCTAAAATAGTTTTCTAGTACAAAAATTTAAGCTTCATTTGGGACAATTTTCTTACTATTTCTTAAAACAATTTTTTTAGTATAAAAACTTCTTGGACTAAAAAAATATAAAAAAATTTCAACTATAAAAATTTCTTGAACTAGCTTTATACTAAAAACTTGCTTTAGAAAACATTAAAAAAATTGTTCCAAACGAAACCTTAGTTGAAGAAATTTTTTATACTAAAAAGTTACTTTAAAAAATAGTAAAAAAATTATCCCAAATGGAAAAAATATACCAGGATGGTTTAATTTTGTACATAACCGGTATGCATAAATATGTTCATTTTGTATACAATGGAAACTTCAACTTTTTGTGCAGGCCAATTGGTAAATATGGTGAACTTCTTAAATGATATAGGTTAAGAGTTTGAAGGTCTCAGGAGTTGCAACCGTTATTTGCAATATCAGTAGCCATTAAAGTGCTTCCTAATTACAATGATATTGTATTCTATACTAAAGAAAGTTAGAACCTATGTTTCATGACAATCTGCATCAATGCTTTCCCTTTTACATTTTGATACTATGGAAACTAGTTTGAACATTACGTATTGTGTAGGAAAATTATATCTTCTAATCCAGGAAACTGACCCGTTGCAAAAACGGGTCGGCTTCGAGTCAGATCGAGCAGTGCCGGGTTAGTTTTAGGTTCGACTCAAATCCGATCCGTGACCCGAAATTAACACCCCTAATTGAAAGCAGGCATTTGAAGTTGTAACAGCTTTGTTGAAACATGGAGTATTGCAGCAGCAAAGGAATTAAAAAAAAAAAAGTAGGGTGTTTAACTAAATTGTATTGTGTAAAATTTGAAGTTTGAATGTCTGGATTTCTTCGCTCAAACAGTTTTGACTGTCAGAAGCTTTTTATTTTTTAAAATTTAGTATTCATCTGGTGGATACATTTCTCATTCAAAATCATATTTATAACAAGGATACTTGAAAAAACTTACTTGGATCAATATTTGTGATTATTGCGGTTCCCCCAAAATCACAGCTTGTAGGTATTGGGTTCTTTAGATAGTAGTCGTTGAATGCATAGGATGCGTGATTTCGTACTGTATCTGGGTTGAAGCAGCTTCCGCCAGGCTGAATTTGTGAACAATCTGCGCCACCATAGCCGCAGGCAAAATCCAGGGCAACCTGCAGTGGAGTTTCTGAAGCTGACTGGCTTGCAATGCACCAGCTCAGTCCTAATGATGTTGAGGGCATCCCCATGCTTGGATTCATTGTTGATGGAGTTATCATTGGAGTTGAAGGATTCGAATCTGTAGGTGTTGGATTATATGTCGGCCTTGTACTTGCAGTTGGGTTTGATGGATTGATGGCCGGAACTGTTGGAATTGGGGTGACAATATCGTGTTGAGGCATAGCGGTAGATATGTAACGACTTGAATCTTCTGGTTCTTTAGCCAAATTTCCTGCCACGTTGAAGCACTTGACTAGGTCAATTCTACTGAGAAAATCGATCAGCCAGGCCAAGCTCTGCTAAATGATTTTGAAAGGTTTCTCTGCTGCCATTACCATACTTGAAGGGAAGGGAAAGGAGAAGAACATTGGCAGAAAGAAAATATTGTAGTTTAGTAAGATTTGCCTTAAAGGTTGAGAAAATTTGCTCGAGAAGGGAGAAAAAGAACTCTTCCACGCTTCGACTTGAACATTAGTTGCTTAAGAAATAGAAGAAATTATTTGGCGCCGACGTTTGACGCACTGGCTAATAACAAAAAGTTACGTCCTCAGTTATTTTCACGTGGATCCAGAGTTTTTTTTTATTGGATGGCGGATGCTGCTTTGCATTGAACGGCGGCGACAGCTTTGAGTCCGCCGCCTGCTGTCTCCGCCGTCTGCAATCTGCAACGGTCGAATGGTTCCGCACAATTGCAACCTCGTGGAGCTTCAAGGTAATGAGTTCAGAAAACTACCAAGGCTTAATGGCGAAGCTTTGGAGGACTTACCTGATGAGAAGAGCAAATTCATGATGAAAACGAGGCGTCGGACGTGTCTGAGGCCCATCTCTCCTAAACAAAAATTTTCTTCTTTTGTTCCTTTCTTTCTTGCAGCTTGAATGTCACGCCTATATCTGAGCGCTGAGAGAGTTATTGTACCCGGTTTCTGGTTTCAGGATCCCAGATTTTTTCCCAAGCAAAACCAACAATAAAGTTGGAGTAAGGGAAACTAGGGACGTGAGGATGGGAGCTTGGAGGTGCACGCAGCTGATGATTGGGTGACGAAAAGTGGGTGAAGGAAAAGTTAGTGAGTAATCCAACTGCAGGAGATATATATATATATATATATATAATAAAAAATAATAATCATGTCCCCTTTCTTTAAAAAAGGCTAATTATCCAGCTATGTTATGCCTATAGTTAGGAAAATGAAGTATTTTGAAGCCCCGTTTTTTAAATTTTGAAAACATGTACTTAGTGAAAATTACAGGAGAAGAGATTTATGAATAATTCGATCATTATTAGATGAATTGTATACACTGTTTGTGGTATAACAGAGGCAACAACATTCATGAACAAATTAAGAATTTGGTAGGACTCCTCCCAATTATTAAAAATTATCTTCATAGCCTTCCACCGAGCATCTCAAACCTTATGTGGGAAATTTTTATGTTGAACTTAGCTTTCATTCGACCTATTATTTCCCTGAGTCTCATGTCCATCTGTTTTCTAATGATGGGTAGTATGTCGAAATTTATAAACTGCGAATTGCACTGATTATGCCTAGTTTTAAGAATTGGAGTGGCACATCGATATTGGTGCTTGATAGATGAGATTTTTCATATGCTGCCTAAACATTTACTAAGAGTGGAATGCAACCAACAAAGGCAATGAGACACCGAGCAATCATGCTTTGCACATACAACCGTAAATTTATTTCTATTTGATGCAATAACAACATACTGAATATTATTTTTAATTGATCATCCTTGAACGACAAATTGTAAATAAGACTTGTATGAAGCACATTCCTTCGATTAATTCGTGAGAAATTGAGAATTCATCCTCTACTACAACCCCGTTAGAGGCATACTCAAACTCAACATCCTGATCCCACTGTTGTGTAGATTATAAGTGTTGGCATAGTTATTATTGGCCATCATTACATCCTCAATGCCAACTGATCTCGAGGAGAAATTTTGAATGACATTACGAATATCTTCATTAACTATTGCGTCTCCATCATTAAAATCTTATAAAAGATCATTTGCATCATCAACATGTTGCTTGTTGGACCCACTACTCATAGTATTGTAATCATAATCAACATAAGTGATTGATTATTTTGAAGGGCCAGGATCTTCTTGCCTCTGTTGATTCTCAATATCAGTATATCACTACATTCAAATCCATTCATCTTTATTTATTAATCAATGAAAAATTAATATGTTTGACAATTAACTGTGTTATATGGAACTTGCTGTTCAATAGGATCTTCTTTTGGTTGGAGCCTTGAAATATCAATAAGCACATCAACTCTTTCACGTTGGCTCAAAGAATTATATATTTGGAAATTTCATGGATCAATATTATCTCCCATCAAACTTATCTCTTAAACTTCGACATACATGAAGAGAAATTCCACAACAACATAGCATAACAAAACTTCACACACCTTGCCATCTTCAACATGTGTATCAAAAAACTCATTGCCCAAAGGCGCTGGACAAACTAAGTTCATAGAAAACTTAGATGCATCATACTTGAGTGCTCTCATAATCCTTAACTTAAGTTGCTTTAAGTTGATGTTTTTTGGCCCTTGCAGATGATGATTTCTATCCTCATAATACATTGGCTTAAAATTTGCATCCAATTGTAATTCACCTCCATACATTAACATGAAAGTTGCTCATCATCCACTCATTATTGAACTCCCACGTTTCGCTAAGAAAGATCAAGAAACTGCTTACGTAATTATCAATTTATCATTGCCCCTAACCATATAAAGAAAAGCATGCTTCAATTCAACCAGAGAAAAGTTTGGGCATCTAGACGAATCATAAATTCATTCAACGAATCCCCACAAAAAATAAAAATAAAAACATAAAAATAAAAACTCATAAGTCAAAAATACTTGCTGCCTGCCCACTACAGTTGCCGCCTTGCCGGACGCCGTGTTGATTTTCTAGACCCGAACCAGACCCGCTTCGGGTTCAGGTCAACCCGACCCGCAGACTGACGCAGGATGCGGGACTGACGCGAGACGCGGATTGACGGGGGACCCGAACTGACGCCGGACGCGGGACATGGACTGACGTGCGACGCGGGCAGACGCCGGACGCGGGCAGACGCCGAACGCAGGATGCGGACTGACGCGGAATGCGGGCAGACGCGGGATGCAGGATGCGGGACGCGGACTGACTCCGGACACGGGCAAACCGGTTTATGTGTCATTCTGGGTCATTCCCGGGTCAACCCGAATTCGACCGGTTTTTCAAACGGGTCGGTTTTCTAGACCCAAATCCGACCTGGTTCGGATTCGGGTAAACCCAAACCTGAAATTTTCGGGTCGGGTTCAATATCTAGAGCTCTACCTGTATGCTTGTCCATCATAACTTTTCACATAGTTGATCTGAGGAGCTCTCTCTTTTCTGTACGTATTCCACTGTTTAACGAGCTAAAAATAGTCGAGATTAAAAAAAAGTGACGGCCACAACAGCCGCACTGAACCTTTTCTCAATTCCACTTTCCAAATTCTCCACTAGATCCTGATTATAATATAAAATAGCAAAGTGGAAAGAGTGCACTTGTCTCTTAGATGCTTGTGCTCTTTCGAGGCTTGACTTAGTTATAAATTTAAGGTTGCTTTGCTGCTTGCGTGGTCATGGAGGAAGTATTAGGAGTTGGATGTCTATGAACTTTGCGCCTAGTTGGTGAAGTCATCATCAATGTGTTAATCAAAAGTGTTTTTTTAGTTTTTTTTGGTGCTGAATTATTGGTTTGGTGAGCTATTTAAAACAAGTCATTATAGAAGAAAAAAAAAGTTATACTCGTTTTACATCTAACTGGAACATTGGCAACTCCTTAGGTACTGGCAGATCACCTTGGCTCCAGTGGGAAAGAAATTTCAAAGGAATTCAGTGTCCAGTTCAAAAAATGACTGTAATCATGGCATTCCAGTTTGGCAGCCAGCAAGATCATCAGAGGGAGAAATTATTATGTGCGAAGACCGGACGGCGAGAATCATTCGGATTTGCTACCCTTTTATTATCATTTTGTTGTGTTTTTGCTAATACTCATTAGAAGGCGGCCTTAATCGAAAGTTCTCTCTCGCTATCGGGAGGGGTAATTAACTATAGGGGCTTGCGCCTATAGGAAACCAGAACTCAGATCAAAAAGTCCTCACCAAATGAGGGCGAAATCTCTGGGTAGTGTCTTATCTAAAAACCCAATATGCCTTCTGAAAATTCCCCCGGGATCACACACCCCTAAAAAAAATTGGAATTTTTCGGAGCCCACAATTACTGAGTATTCTAACATAATATTCTTTACATAATATTCTTTCATAATACATTCATAAATACTAACATTTTTAGGAATACGAAGGTTAAAATAATAATTAAAATATCCATTTATAAATCCCATAGCCTGTTACAAAAGCTTGCTCGTGCATTTTGGAGCTGCACCAAATTTGTTCATCATCAATCTACTTATCTACTTGCTCTCTTTTCTCACAATCATCATTACAAACCAGTACTCTTTGTATAAGATAAAGGCCCACCACACTTTCGGTGGAGATAATTTCCAATGATATCTGGTTCGCGAGTATATATGATTACAGCTTAAATAGAAGTCGCTTTACGCTTCTCAATATAATCTTTCTCCGGACTGAAGACCAAAAAGATTAGCTTTGTCGTTCTTATCTTAGCCCAACTTTGCTGAAAGGAAGAGCGATTGGGATGGCCATAAACCCTTTGTAGGGTCGGCTCTTTGATTTCACAGAATCGTAATCATATGGGGTTAGTTGCAATAATATCCCTTTTTAAAGGTATTAATCAAAGCTGATTTCAAACGCAGCTCACTTTAATCTGTTGATCGAAAGTTTTGACTATCAATCAAAAGGTCTTAGATTTAGGTTTTACGTATATGATGTGTGTGAGTTTTATTTAGGCCTTCATTGACCTAAATGTTCAAAAAAAAAAATGATTTCAAAAGAAAAATTATATATAAGCTATTAACTTGATACTGTTAATTATAAAGGTTTAGATAGTTTGTTTTTCTTTCTTGATTAGAAATGAAAATTACAAACAAATGAACAAATGAAATTTCTTATATATATAATAGTAGAATTCAAGCTGGATGGATGAAGTGGAGGAATCCACCGGGCTTGTTATGTGATAGAAAACTAAGAAAGTACCATTAAAATTTAAGGAAAAATTCTATAAGATGGTGGTTAGACCTGCAATGTTTTATGGCGCATAATGTGGCCATTAAAAGAGAAGCACAATATTAGGTTAAGTGTAGCAGATATGAGGATGCTCAGGTGGGTGAGTGACTTTACTCTTAGAGACAATATACGAAATGAGCATATACATGAAAAGGTTAGAGTAGCTCTAGTGTCAGATAAGATTAGAGAGAGTCACCTTAGCTGGTTTTGTCACATAAAATGGCGGCCTTCCGATGACATAGTTAGGAGAGTAGATGTATTAGATTTAACCTATGTTGAGAAAGATAGAGGTAGACTTGAAAAGACTTTGTCTTTCTTTATTAGATCTAAATGAGAATTTGATTCTTAATAAGATACAATCGAGAAAAAGAATTCATGTAGTCGATCCCACATAGTGGGATAAAGGCTTGTTGTTGTTGTTTTTGTATATAATAGAGATTTTAATTATGTTCTAGAAGTGATTATACTTAACAAGCTTGTTATTTGTAAGATTATGGTTTAATTTTTAAGAATGAGGTATTTGGTGTTCTCATTTATGTTACACATGTAGATTTTTTAATCCATTATAGAGAATCATGACAATAAACTGATCTTGTTGACTGAATAAAGTGGATGCTGTAGGATGAAATTCTAACTGGGAAATCATTGAACACACTGCTCAAGTTATGAAATACCCCAAAATGGGGAGTTCGAGGGGCGAAGAATCCATCAGGCAACAGGTAG